AATGATTTTACGGATCTTTTATTTACCGATACTACGGACATGATAACAGTGGCGTAATCACAATGAAAATTGGACGGTCTAAAATACGTAAAATAGTCTTGTTTAACTGTGTTGGTATTACGGAATCGTTATGTGAACCGAATCAACGCTTTTGCGGAACCAACCTGAGTTTTTCTCCCTTCGAGTATTCTTCAGAACTCCCTAGATTTGTGAATGTCAACATACTTTAGTAGTCCGCTTCTCGAGACTCACTACGGATTATGAAGTCACTATATTTTGTGTAGATATAATTATCGAAGAATAGAGGCTAGCACTAGAATTAAATTAGCCGTGATAGCTCAGTGTCCGGGCGCTCGCCTTTAATTCAATATACTCGAGCAACCTGAGTTCGATCCCCGGTGCCGGCACCAATGAAGTTTTTTAACTTTAAGTGCTGACTTATCACGTGCTCCGCGGTGAAGAAAACATCGTGAGGAAACCTGCATATTTTCGAAATAATAACAAAAAAATATATATTTCGAAGATATGTGAAGTCCGCCAACCCGCAGTTGGGCCGCGTGGTGGACTATGCCCTGATACCCTCTCTATAGAGGAGGCCTTTGCCCAGCAGTGGGACATGTATAGGCTGTTACTTTACTTTACTTTTTTTACTAGAATTAAAAATAAATTTCAAATATTCATTTGAAAAGGTGGATTTGCCGTAAGAAAAGCACATTTGATGCCAAGCGTTGCTAAAAATGCAATAAAAACGAAAGAGATAAGACGCCGGGGTACAAGCGGTAAGAATATCGACCGCGTCGCTTATCAGCTATAGCGTCTGGGCCTGTACACCGGCAAGCACAGGTTCGAATCCTGTCAGCGGGAGAAACATAATTCTAAAAATCTATCTGCACATCACAAGTGAAGAGACTAGAGTTAAAAAAAAATTCACCCTAATTGACCTTGACGCGAAGTCGATCCGGGCATCATGTAAAATCATTATGCTCGTTTGGGTTCGAAGGCGTCACGCTGCAGCGAGTGACGTCATCGCGTCACCATTAGCCGCCGTCGACGCTGGATTGGTACCATTTTTAGAAGCACAATAGATCGGTTAAATGGAACTCTCGACCGGCGGACTTTCCCAGTTAGTCGCTCTTTAAATTCGTACTGCAGAAACGATCGTTTAGTGTGCGGCAGTGCTAAGTGCTTCGTTTAATAATTGACGTCATAAAAGTTCAAAAATTCGCCAGGTAAATATTATAAACATGTAGTAATAAACAATACTTGTTCGTTCAACAAACATCACTACGCTTGTCTGGTGGGATATACATAATGTAGGAAACGTTTGGTAAATCTCCTGAAATCGAATCGTTTTGTAGACTCTCCTCACACGCTAAACGTTAAGTTATGGCGGATCTAGTTCGGTTATGGCCTTATCAAAGTGGCATTTTCGCAATAAAAATCCTCATATGCTCATAACGTGAACAACAATAATTTACGCGCAGGACCCGATAGGTCGCTAGAAACCGATAAAAGGGAGAATTATTGCGGTTTTAAAAGTATATTAGTGTTTGTTCAACAAATCCCACCATTCCCGGTGCCGAGATCGGGGATTTTTAGGGACGAGAGAGGTCGGGAGAGGAGTAAATATCTCCGACCACGTAATTCGCAACGCAGGTCGGCAACGAAACATTCCCCTGTTTGTTCAGGCCCCGCAGGGATTTCCGACTAATTAGGCTTGACTTAAATAAAACTCCCTGTTTTTGAATTTTTGCACATCAGCAAGATTATTATAATCTACTGCTAGCTACAACTGATACACGATGAATATAGAATCGATAGTGTCGAAGATGAAGAGATGACGCATGTTTATACTGCGCGGCGTTCAAAAATTGCTCCACTTTATATTATATGACATATGTGTAAGTGAATGTGACAGAATATAGAACGTATGATACGGAAAGAGATATCAGTCAATAGAATTGTAATCTAATTACTGCAATTGTCGTAATTTTAATGCCTCAGTTTCGGTGCGGTAGTGTCATACCTATCTCGTGTTTGCATATAATATTGTACAGATATAGATATAGCATATTTTTGGAGGGAGAGACAGAGACAGCTGTATCCATAGACTTTTCTTAATGTGACCAGATGTAGTCTGTTGGCGTCGTATAGGCACAGATGTGACATGAATTATTTTTGGGCACAAAATTACGAAAAAAATGTTCAACTCGTTTCCGATGACATCTGTGATTTTAAAAATTGCAATTTCATTAGAGCTGGAACCATGTTTATTGATAGTTATTTTTTTTTTTTCAATATATTCCAGCAAACTGTGGTAGCGCCATAGGGTTATATCGTAAAGCTCTTTAAAAAAACTTTGATAATTAAGGAGCCTGTTTTTTTTTTCGTTAAAAACTTTTATTACGACGTAAGATTATAACTACATTACTAGTAAAGACATGGTTAAGGCTTTCAATTAGCACTATTAAATAATTTCTTTGATAATTAACCTTAAATTCAAATTGTAAATTTACTTTTTAGAAACTATAATCGTTTTAATATACGATATGTTATATTCTTTTTCAAATACGACGGCGGTTGAAAACGTCCAGGTAAAGCGTTGTTAAGCGAAAAGTAAATAGGAACCATTTATGGATAGCAAAAATTTAATAACACTAGTTCATGTAATAAAAAACGGCCAAGTGCGAATCGGACTTTCGCACGAAGGGTTCCGGACAATTATCAATAAAAACTACAAAAAAATCATATCCGTTGTATGGGAGAGCTCAACCGAAATATTTTTAGTAGGTATTTGTTGTTATAGCGGCAATAGAAATATATCATCTGTGAAAACTTCAACTGTCTAACTATCATGTTTCATGAGATACAGACAATCCTAGTAATAGGCTCCTGTCCTACCATTTGGGTGCGGCAGCCTAAAAACATAGTAGTCTATGGTGGTCAATTAGGTATTGCGGGAAATGTTTCAATTCACTAATAGCACTTTGTGTTAATATACAGTGATATGTATTAAACTGTAGCTGAAGGGGAAGGAGGCTGGCTTAATTTAGGCTTAACGATCCCGAGACCTACAGGACAACGAAGTTCCACAATACGCGTAGGCAAATGGATGCAATCAGTCGCCTAGCAAATACCTTTCGGATACGCTGACTTGATTGAGTTGTCTTTAGTTAAATTAATTGCGGCGCGTGCGGTTTAATTAGTGAGTCGTTATTGATTGTATGGACAATAAACGCGCTCTAAGCTATGAACGTAAAGTACTGTTGTAAAACTTATTGACAATAAAGTTTGACGACTGAACGCTACAAACGGAAGTGAAGAAAGAAATTTGTTGGAGCAGTTAGTTGACAATAGAATTGTCATTTTGGATTAGAATATAGATTATAAATATTTCGGATTTTAGTATTCGTCTGTATACAATTATTTTTTGTCCCTTTCTTTTTATATGTAGCAAAAATTCTTAGGAATATTTTTATTTGGTAAAGGATGTTGACCGATTATGGACCTCTATGTATTATTTCAAACACCGTTTGAAAGCTTATGTTCGCCACTATTGATTAAGTAATGATAAAAAAAAACGTTCGTTTAAAAAAATGCATGATTATGCCATCTATTAACAATAATTTGTTTAAAAAAAAGTTAGAGAAGTAGACAGAAAAGGTTATTCTTCAAAACAAGAGATACCTTTTAGACTAGATACTTATTTAAACATTATATTCGCTAACTGATCACAGTAGATAAAGTGCGTAAATTTCGCACGGGTCTACCTACTATTACCTATAAAACAAAACATATACATAACCGCAATGAATTGTTTAAAATGGGGGACAAATCGGTGAACAGATATAAAAAAGAAAACATACAGTCGAACATAGTACCACCTCCTTTTTTGAAGGCGGTTTAAAAGCAGTTTCATCTAAAGTAAAATTCTGATATTCGACCATCGCGTCGACTACGCGTCGTGCGCTGTGTTATCTCTGTGTAACGTTGGAAGCGAGATAATTTAAGATAGCGAGATTGGACAAAACCATACCAAATACAGCAAAGAACATTTAGTAACCGTGAACAATAATTTAAAGATTAAAAACAATAAGGGTAAATTATATTTATGTTAAGGGAGAAAGTTTAAGTGTGAAATTGGAGATAAACAAGTTATTTATCGTGAGTTGGCGACTCTGGGCAGAATACTAAACGTCTTAATTATGGAATACTCGGTTTGATACCGGTTCGTGTGTGTCATTGTTTTATATCATTCGGAATGACAAACAATTGAAATGATTTATTATATTGTTGGGTAAAACTGATAAAAGCATGTTATAGAAGAAAGAATTACGAAATGCCTGATATGACTAGAATTAGGGGATTTTCATATCTACATCACCAACCTTCTAATACTCTTTCTTTTATTTTTAATATTCTTGTAATGATATCATTGTTTCTTAACTGCAGAACTCTATTAAAAATGGCAATATAATAGAACGTTCATTGATTATTTTTGAGAGGTCGTTTCCTTATTTACTTGTGAGCGTTTATAGTTTTTACTATATCGGTTCTGTCCCTGAAATATATAACAACCATCTAATATTCATTTTTTTGCAAAATAAATGCGTTTAGCCTCGACTCGAGCCTTATCTGTAAGTTCTCAATAAAACGGTTAAATAACTATCCTATATCTTAATGTAGTGTACAAGCTATCATTCCAAATTATATCCTCAATCTCTCAATTATATCATCCGTATAAATCCACTCGGTCGTTACGTTGCGAAGGCGTACCGAACTCACTTCACGCAAATTCTCGCATACGACATAAATGTGCGACTTGATAAGCTACAATTGTTTAGCAACCTTTAAGCCTTTCATATAAAGGCTTAAAGGTTCGCGTGTGTCATTGTTTTATAGTCTATATATTTTATAGAGTCCACAACACTCCTCCATATAATCTTTCTCAACCACTCACACGAATCCGAACCCGATATAACTGCCCTTTCTCCACTCAGGAGCAACTGCGACAGCGCAAAGAGGCGGAGGAGAGGATCGCCGCGCAGAATGAGTTCCTGCGCACCTCACTCCGGGGCTCGCACAAGCTGCAGGCGCTGGAGTCCACCCCACCGTCTTCATGCACCGCTTTCGTCAACGACGCGTACGAGGAGGACATCAGCGATGAGGTCTCACCGCTCTACACCATCGTCGGTAAGTGGAGAAAGTGCCATTCTCTTTACCACTGCGGTAGGGCCACGCCAGCCCTGTAGTCCTCGGTGAGCAGTGTAGTCCCGGGCCCATAGAATAGCACTGAGGTTTCCCCTGCCTGTCGTTAAAGACGACAAAGAGGGGACACAAAGTGGCCACGAGCTGTTGCATGAGGTGAGGAAACCGGGGAAGGTCACAAAGGACGCTCAGCTTTTTGCTGTTGACTCTCGCGGGTAGACCATGAGAATAAGAACGAGACGGGATTATCGTCTCGAACTTCTACTGGATCAAGCACACATATGCATATTACAAATAGTGCCACAAGTTGCCTAGGTTTTCTCGTCCGCGCTCATTATCGTCGTCAGACATCATGTGAGATAACGAATTTGAGATAAATAATACAATCATTATTAACATGTAACAGTTATCAAAAAATGCAATACAATGACCATGCAATACAGTAACGATTGAGAATGTACTGAGTTAGCATAACAAATACAGTAGGGATTATGTTGAAACTTGACCGTCGTATTTCGACAGTGTAACCACAAGATAAATTCGCGAGATACATTTCGATCATTAAATCGTGGCTATAAAATATTATAAAGCCTCTTTGTCATACCCGATCAGTTCTATATATCTTGATTTTTATTAAAGACTTGTCGATTTACTAAATATCTCTAATAAATTGCTTTCCACCCTCGCTTGTCGCAATCTCAATTAAATCGGAGTTTCGTTTCCGTGCTTTTCTCTTTTTAATTGTTTTTCTTACGGAGCTCTGGCGGAGCTTGGTTATTTCCTAACAATTAAGGCAAAGTGACTCAAAATTTGGGTATACCTAAATAATAAAATCAGTAACAGATCTATCTATCATTTAAAGTTCTAGCTACTCGCATGTCAACAGCCAACTTTGCTAAGCAACCAACATGACAAAAAAATAAAAGCAGACTAGATATAGTCACATGTGAAGATACACTAATTGGATCACTTGTGTACATTCAGCTACTCTTAGTCTGTGGATCGCGTAGTTTTAATGAATAGGCTTCATACATATTTTAGGCAACTGTAATGATTTTGAACTCAGTATAATAGACACATATCAGTCATCCCAAGACTGTAACGTAAACCCATATTAAAATTTCGTAACATATATTGAAATTCTTTTTACTAATCCATGTCGCATATACATATATACCTAGTATGTGCTCTTGCTTTCATTGATAGCAAGGATTGTTCAATGTTGATGATTGTGAATGATTGATTGAACGATATTTTGTAACAGACGATCTTTTTCGTTTTGGAATTGAACCCACGAAACGGCATGCAACAGCAATTGGAGATGACTATTTTAATATTATATTATTTAGTTTAACTAGTGGTCGCCAATTGGTCGAAATTCGACCACAATTACGATGAATAATAAATAGTGTGATCTATTAATGGTAGTGTGATCTATTTAATGTCTTTAAAAGATATTAGCATTCTGCACTCCTTCTCTATATAAACTATAAGTGTGGGAAATTTCATACTCCTCTGTCTGCATAATTATCCTAAAAAGGGGTAAAAAGGTTTTGATTCACGTATTAATATCTAGATTAGTTATTCTACTACGGCTTTTTCGGATTAAGACTACGTTGCGTTGCATTTTCCTTACGTAGTATATAGAAATATTGACTAACAAATTTGTGGAACTCTTCTTTCGACTTGAGACGAGATTCCTGACCTTTCACGTAAGTCGTGAATGCTGCTTAATTGGAACAAAAAAGCCTCTTTCACTCAGAGAAAAGTACCTATATTCGCCAGGCATTACATTCCGTCATTAAATTCCCGTGAATAAGGTCATATTTTATTATCTAACTCTAACATACACGCCATTTCTGGAGTAATATGGAAAGTGTCACCTACATTCCGCTAAGTTATTAGCTCCTTTAATTTATTTATTTAGACACATCAATGATTAATTAACAATGAAAATTTAGACTTGCAATCAAAGCAAAAATGCATATCAAAGTAACGTTTTTTTTTTTTTTTTTTTTCTGGATGAGCCACTGTAGGCCTTAGGGGCCTTCACAGATCCGACGGACTTGAGGTGGCCTGGCGCACGAGGCGCCTAGCCTGAACCTCGGCGTACTATTATTACGCGTTATGGTGACTAAGCTCGAGGGCTCCCGGGGGAGCCTCGGCTCGGGCCGTCACGCTATTATTGTTACCGGTTTGGGAGGCCGCCAAGCTCTTAGGGCGCTTTGGCGGGCGCTCCATGGAGTGATCAGGCTCAAGGGTCCCCGAGAGGGGACCTCGGCTTGGGCTGTCACTCAGCACGCGTTTAACATTCCGATTCGAGGGTGCCCGAGAGGGCCGGACCTCGGCTCGATCGGTAGCTATTATCTGACTGGGAAAGTAACGTGAAATAACTTAAACTTACTGTGTTAACAATTTCTGGATGTATATTTGTTTTTCTTTCACGCAAATACTACTGCATATATTTTAACGAAACTTTACAATAATATATACATCAGAATAACACATAGGCTAAAATTTATAAACATATTTTTATGTATATCTGTGTTTCTGTCCGAATGTTACGCCTTCATCCTATTCTACGCAGACGTAGTCGTGGGCAGCAGCTAGTAGGCAGTAGCTAATAATAGGAAATCGGGTGTGCGTCCTTTTGTTCTGTAATCGGTTGTTATATTTATTTTTATAGAATCTTATTATTTTATCGATTTTATTTTTATCGTTTCAGTTTACTTTTACCTAAAACACATTCCTAATGTCTAAAAGGAACGGGGACGTCAGCACCGGTTGTTCGATCGCAATTACTGAGCTACAGAGAAGTCGTGGGTTCGAATTCCATTCTGTACAAGTATTTAATCTGCAGAAAATAACGATGGAAAAGTTTGTTTGTCCACGTTTCGTCAGATTGGCGCACTAACACTGCTTAGTGTATACTACAACATAAGCGAACATCAAAAGACATCCTGCAGTGAAGATTTTTCATGTTCTATCTATGGGTACGCTGACAACAGTCGAGGTTTGCTATTAACCAAACGCTAGTCCGTGGTACCTCGATAGAGTAGAATTTCGATTCGATTTCACTCTTACGAAACAAATTAGGCGGTGACAATACGGCACCGGTTTACAACTTAATGAGTCGGAAGACCGCGGTAACACGAGCTCAGTGTAGTGACACCACACGTTATGGTTTACTTGGGATCACATTTTTGGCGGGTATTTGAAATCTATGATATGGCGCGTCGGAGTATAGGAGCTGTCACATAGGGATGATAAGGAAGTGTGTATGGATCGAAAAGACGGATGCTGCCTCACTGGTGGGAGGTGGGCTTTCATCATCATCGACATTTTAGCCTGTTTGGGTCCACTGCTGTAGTCACTCCATCTAGTGGGGCTTCGTCCTACACTACTATGACCAATATGATGTTGCCATTCGAAAATCTTTCTTACCCATCGGTTATCTGTTCTTCGAGCTATATGGACCAATGTCTCTTCAGCGGCAGTTTATTTTTATGGAACATCTTAATGTCATCCTTCAAGTTTTTAATTCCTACTGACTGATATGTTTCGTACTGATGCAGGCGCTAATGCAGGACAAGTTGACAATCAAACTGTTGCTGTCACACAATTTATAATATCACCTTTTTTCAACTTTCTTTTTCACTCCGAAATGTTTCTCATTGTTTGTAGATATCGTGGCTGTTTATAGGTACATACAATTAATGCAATAAAATGGATGCAAATAACCACGAAATTTCACTTCGAATAGAAAAAAAAAACTCGCTTCTATCTTTATTGTCACCATAAAAGTCACGATCTAAAGATCAGTTAACTTGTGGGATGTTTAAAAATTCCTTTGAATCAACTCCGAGTTAAGTCCTTCGTCCCAGGAATATGGAATGATGGTCGAGATAGGCGCAGGTGTTGGCGGCGAGTTAGTTCCAGTTCATTGTCCACGTGCCAATAGTTGGAGGCTCGATAAGTGTCGCTCGGGTTTAAAATTAACAACTGGGACGCCGATGAAAGCCACTCGGCAAACAAGAACGTAGTACGCTATAAATGAATCTTGCACCGAGCGATAAGACGAATTTCGACCTAAATAATAACGCCTGGTAAACTGAAAACTTTCACTACTTTTTTTTTATTTCGTATACGTGTATGTATGAATCTGTCAGTTGCAGTTGCATAGGATGTTACAAATTTTGCTTCTTTTATAAAAAACTATGTCTTCAAAAATATTAATTTATTTTTATTTTATTAAATTATTGAACAAAAATTTTATTAATCATGAGAAAAGGCCCCCCAAAAAAGTTCGCCTTTAAAGAATTTTTGATTATACAAATTCCAAGATACACAAAATAAAAAAAAATTAAACCATTTATTCATCGACACAAGAAAAAGAATTATGTTAAAATTAAAATTTGTAGTAAAAGTACGAAAATATTGTCGCCGCAGTGGGAATCGAACCCACGTTTTCGGCATTCGCGGCCTGACGCTTTAGCCACTGTGTTAAAATTTTAATGTTCAGTCTTTAAGTGCAGACATTAGCACTATAAAAAATTTTAATGATACAATTAGCCTATAATTTTGAACAAAAAAAAACGACCTCAAACAGTAAAGTAAAGCAACATTGTCAACTCCTAAAACATTTGAGGATCGCCCTCGATTTTTCTGGGATGCCATCATCAGATCTGGGTTTCCTTAACATGGGGTAACACTTACCACCCTTGGGATATCTCCTTTCCAACAAAAAAAGAATCAACAAAATCGGTTTATAAATAACGAAGTTATCCCCGAACACACATAAAAAAAAAAATATATATACGGTCGAATTGAGAAACCTCCTCCTTTTTTGAATCGGTTAAAAATACATTTCATTTATCGGTAGTAATTTTTTTTAATCTACCACCAACTGGAAAATCGATCCATTGTTAAATAAATGTAAAGTAAAGCACATATTACGTAAACGATGGAGATTAAAAAGATAAACTATTACGGGAGATGACTTGACGGTCTTTTTACATTATTCCCAGGGGTAATAAGGCATATAAAAACCAGTTCCTAATGAGCTCTCACAGCGCGATAAGGATAAAACCTCTTTAATTATTTAACCAGCACAGAATAGACGCTTTATAACTACGAAAGCGGTTGTGACATCCAGTTCATTTATAGAACACGACAATTAACAACCCCTACAGATACGTTCCCTCTAATTAAAACGCTATCCTATACAGGAAATAATGATACGCTCAATTTTTAGATTTTACCTTCATCTTGTAAGTTTAAATTATTATATTTGTACTTATTATTTCAAAAGGCTACAATTAGCAGCTGAACCAGAGACCAATATGAATCACTCAATGATTTTATCAAACGCCCGTTAGGAAACCGAAAACTATGGTAGATTTCTATGGCGACTCATATATCATAATGTTTTTTTAAATGTGGAAAGTTGACAAGCGAGCAGACGGTTCACCTGATGTTAAGTGAATACCGCCGCCCATGGACATCTGCTATACCCGAGGGTTACAGATGCGTTGACAACCTTTTGAAAATTGGGCTCCGGCTACCTCACTCACCAGATGAAACGCGAAAGTATTTATTTCATCCACTTTACGCCGGTCTTCTGTGAGGTCGTGGTACTTACCCGGACGAGCTGCCCATTCGTCACACAAATAGTTGTCCCTTGTGGGAATCGAACCCATGACCCCCGACGCTGAAGTGAACATCTTGGCAACTGCGCCACGGAGCCAACAATATAATAAGTTAAAAACTAAGGGTCCCACAAGGCGTTACAACGACTTTTTGTTGCAGATTATGAAGACGTGGTGGCAGCTCTGTCGCGGCTGCAGGCGGCGCTGACGTCAAGCGGGGCGGGAGCGGCGGCGCGGGGGGCGGCGGCGGCGGCGGCGCTCCTCGCGGGGGCGGGGGGCGCCCTCAGGGCGGCTCTGCGCACGCGCACGGCAGTGATACGCGCGCGGCCGCTGCCTTCGCCGGCGGGACGAGCCGCCGACAGACTGCGAGACGTAAGAACATCTCTTCTTTCATTATCTCATTCTCTCCTTCTCTCTTTCTCTCCTTCTCTCTTTCTCTCCTTCTCTTTTTCTCTCCTTCTCTCCTCTCCTTCTCTCGTTCCTCCTTCCCTGAATGCTGAGGATCGTGACCACGTACAATACATCGCCAACTTGCGCAATCATGCGATTCATGGACAGCCCGATACATGCTTCCGCCCACTGCCACCTTCACGGCATCAGACCATCTTGTAGGCGCCCTGCCCCGAGCACGTTTGCCATCTATTTGTCCCAAGATAATGAGCCTCTCTAGATCATGTCGCGACGAACGCATAACATGACCGAAGAAGCATTAGCTTCTTGGCATATTGTTCAGTTCTTAGATAGGTTCGTGCATTCGGTGAACGGTGTGAGTGCCGATTCGCCATCGCCATTATTCGTTTTCCAAGCTAGAACTATTTAGTGATAACGAAATCTGCATTGTTTGGCTTCGATCAGTACAGCACGAATCAAATATAAGCTGAGGAAATGGCCTTTAATCATATTTGCATTACAATATGTTTTGAATAGAATCCGCTGTTTTATACAGGTAGAAATTTTATCTCGTAGAATCTACCTGTATAAAATAGCTACGACGTAGTTTCACCCGCAACTCTATTAAAATTTCAGAGAACATATCCGAATGTAAATAAGCACTCTATTGCCAGTGGATTCTACTAAGCAAAGAATTGAGCATTGATTGGATTTCCTATTTGCATTTTGCAATGTTGGAATGCTTTGACGACCCAATTGTAGGGCGGTTAGTGACACTGCCTCTTGCGCCAAGGACGTGGGTTCGATCCCCGCTAGTGGAAACCTAAAGTACGTTTAAGTTTTTTTATCAGTTACCTAGTACAAGCTTAGCTTAGTTTGGGATTAGATGAAGTGGTGTAAAAATATGCCCCGAAATATTATACTTATTGCTTACCTAATGTTGGATTACATAAGTTGGGTAGACGTTGGTTTCTGTTCCGCTGGGGATTATATCCATAATATCTATCTGCCCATCGGATTATTGGAAACAATATTTTAAGGTCCCCAAGTCCCAAGCTTATTGACATCAAAACTGTCTCGTGCCAGAGTCTCGTAAATATTCATTTGAATAACGCTTTTGATGTTTATGAATCCAACACAGATCACTGATGTTTAATTTATACTGTAGTATTCGGGCAGCCGGAGTTTGAATCCAATCGTCAGTGTCAAAGGTAGAGGTACAGTATGCAATTTCAAATGTTAACTTGTCAGCTGTTTGGCTAGTCAGCTTAAGGTAAACAGCACGGGCATTCGCCTGACAAATCTAGAAATAATCCATTTGAAACAAATACAGTTTAAATTCATCAATGGCGTCATACTTTTAATTTAGTTTATGGTCTACGTACGGAGAAGTTCTCACCAGCAATTACTTGTGCAACTGGCACATGCCTATAATGTTTTGTTTGAGTTTATTTGCCTTTAAGATTATTTTAATGAAAACTTCTATTCTTCGTGGTGTCAATCGTCGGGTCGTCATTAAAACCTTTCACATAGTTTTAGTTCAACTTCACATGGTTTTATTTTTGGGGAAAATGTTTTTGAATAACTGGGGACCGTGGTAAAGATTTTAATTAAGTTTGTGCCACAATGTAAGTTCCCAATGTAATAAACTTTGTTTGAATCAGTAACACACCCACGATTTACTAAAAACTTCTTTAAGATCAAATCAGCCACACGGTAGGTACTGCTACATAATTATATCATCACCATTACTGCAAAAATAATTGATATCATCGAAAATATTACTATTGTACAATTAGAAACGTTCTAAACCAAATCGCTAAGTCAAAACGAATTCATATAAGATAGAAATTAAAACTTAGCAATGTTAAGTAAGCTTCATAAAGAAAATTCGACGTTCTTAACGTCAGTCGCGTCTAACCTGAAGTTGGTAACTTCACGCTAATGGCCGCCCCAGCATAGTTTTCTGGAGCATTAGTGCACTCCAACAAACGAGAGGTCATCTTGAGCCGCACTTGTTTGTGGCTCGGAAGTGAGCGATGCCTTTTCTTGCTTTGCTCCCTCTTTTTGGGACCTAAGAGGAAATGTAGGAGAAACTTTTAGATACATTCACTCGTAATTATTATATTGCACTAATTTAAATCGATAATGATCGTTAATAGGGCTAAATATAACAATATAAATACTTTATCAATGTGTAGGATTCATCGAAAGGATACTACTAATACGCATATATCTAATTACTAGCTGACCCGGCAAACGTTGTTTTGCGATATATATTATTTGTAGTGTGGAAAAAAAACTTTGGGGTGGACCACCCTTAACATTAAGGGGATGAAAAATAGATGTCCGATTCCCCACCCTGACCGATATGCACATAAAATTTCACGAAAATCGGTCGAGCCATTTCGGAGGAGTTCAATTACAAACACCGTGACACGAGAATTTTATATATGAGAGATTTCTCACGATAAATATAATTTATGCTTACACTGATATTGCTTGTGGCTTAGAAGGAAGCTGAAACTTGGTATAATATTTTCGTTATGTTCTAATTATTTCTTTGGTTTAACAATTTATCGTTATTTTTTGGTTGACGGCAAGTCAAATTTTTTTCTATGTCATTTATCTTCTTTTGTGGATTAATAAAAAAACATTAATCTTTTAATTTCGTCATCTAGCTATTTTAATTTTTTCACTTAACATTGGGCGAACCGCTTGCTCGTTTTCCACGTTTTATATTGAAAAACAGTAAGTATACCTAAAATATAAGAACAACATACTATTCGCGATTTTTTAATTTTCACTCAAATTTGCGTTCTGCGTTGAGTGTGACTTAATAACGCATATTATCCCAATTTAAATACAGTGTTCCCGCTGTTTCAAGTGCTCGGTATACTTAATGGCGCTTAAACGCTAAAAAACTGGTTAAATTAGTTTTTTCAAATGTTTACAATGCGTGTCATTTACACATAATACTACAAACTAAATAATGTAGGATTTATACAGAATGTACATAGTTTTCAAATCTACTAATACAACTTAAAAATATAAACAGTTGATTATAACACCGTCTATCTCTTTTTGTGCTATCGGAAACTACCTGCTTTGCACTATCCTAACTACCAGTCATTCAGGAATTATAACCAAGGCTTAGCTAGGAATACGTTCGTATTAGTAACAATTTCGCGGATCCTTGTCGGCTATACAAACGCGCCAGGTCCGAACGCAAAAACGTCAAACACAAAACCTTTTAGTTTTGCAAATTCCTTTTTCGCGGGACTTTCCAAAACTATTACGTCCGCTTGTTCAACGCCGAAAACTCGTCGGGCTTGTTTACATAGTAGTTTTTTTAACATCTAGTTGCTCGCTCCGTTGGTGTTTGCTTTTCATCACTATGGACCGCGAATCTAGTATTTTATTTGATTTGCAACGGAAAATCTATCAGGGACGCATGTATGTATTCATTGCTGTGAAATTCATTTAAATAGGTTATCGATGATCGTTGCTGTTTTTATACGTCTCTCAGACAGTTCCGAGTTCGTGGATTCGAATTGCTGTCATGGTCATTATTAGATCGTCTACGTTATTTACCGTTGCATCGCAATAAAATCATTATTAATTAAATTATAAGTAGCTTTCAAGTGCAACAGCTGGATTTTTTTTAGCCAAGGGTTACTAAAGCATTAGTGTAATTTAAGCATTGATGTAATGTAGGGAGATGATTATATGAGCCCTTTTGTGGTAAAGTACTGGGAAGCTTTTTGCCAGCTAGATCGGGAAGTGCCACGGTCTGACAAAGCACCGGCGTGAAGTGGAGGGATTTTTACTTTTGCTTTTAGTCCGTTGATTGGGATAACTCGAGCGCCAGCTTCTTGTAGATAGGCAATGCACAACCCTACTGATTCGGATGAAGCAAGATAGGAGCCAACTCCTTCCTAAATGGCCGGCAACGCGTTAGTGCCTCCTCTGGTGATGCCAGTGACCATGGGCGGCGGTCATCACTTAGCATCATGGGAACCGCCCGCTCGCTTGCTACCTTCTCACTTGTCCACAGACGGTGCAACTCAAAATAACAATCTAGTAAATCGATAGCAATTTTAGATGATAATTCTGGTGATAATCCTAGTTCTGCTGGTCGACTTGTGCCACTGTATATTGATTTCCACTATAAGTAAATTAAGTATCGTGTAGTAAAGTGTCAACTGCTGAACATATACGCTTCCCCCAATGACTGTCACGAAGTACGTTCCTTACCTAGCTGCATCCATCGACTTCCCGCCCATTTGTACAGGTCAACACCTCATCTAGTGGGGGGTCGTCCTACCTCTGTCAGCAGTGTACTCAAACAGGCTGAAAGCTGAAATGATGATGATATTATAGTGTTACTTGTTGCTCTCTCAGTGCATAGACGCGATAGGACCATTGGCGGCATCGGGCGGCGAGAGTTCAGCGCTGGCCGCTGAACTGCTGTCGGTCCTCGGAGGCCTGGAGTTGGAGAGCCTGGTCCAGGCGCACGACCAGGCGGCGGCGCTGCTAGACCCCGCCTGCTTCACAAGGGGGAAGAGACACAAGGTCAGACCAACTGGTACCTACCAACTAGGTTTAATATGGGTACATCATAGGAAACGTGAGTAAAATAGATTATAGAACAGTGATAGCTCAATGAACCAACTAGGATTAATGTATACCATAGGAAACCGTGAGTAGAGTATAGAGCCGTGATAGCTCAGTGTCCGGGCGCTCGCCTTTAATTCAATATACTCGAGCAACCTGAGTTCGATCCCCGGTGCCAGGACCAATGAAATTATCAATTTTAATGGATTTATCAATGGATGGTGAAGGACTACACTGTGAAGAAACCTGCATATTTTCGAAACATTAATAAAAAAAACATTTCGAATACTGTTCATTACGCGAATTCCCATTGAGGTAGCATGGTGGCCTATGCACAAATTACCTCTGTACAGAGGAGGCATTTGCCCAGCAGTGGGACATATATAGTGTCTTTAATTTACCATTCAATAAGATATTTTAATTTCAGACTGCGAACGCGAATCACAAGGGCGATAGCGACAAGACGCTGTCCACGTCGCCCGACAGCACCAGCGAGCAGATTAAGATCATCAAGATCGAGAAGACGAACGAACCACTTGGTGAGACCCTGTTCCCCTTGTCACCCAAAAGCAGCGATTCCCCAAGAGACTCCTTTTGCCAAATGAACTGAAAAATCAGATCGAAATAGTCAAATTATATCGAAAATGCTACATCTCTATTGTTCTAAAAGTACCACAATTTTACCTCCCACTAAGATATTAGTCAGTATCCTGAGGGAACAATCAAATAAGAACTTGTGTTTATTAATAGAGTTCGATTTAGATCTAGTCGAAGTACAAAATCAGTTTACGTTTACGTCGACGATTGGAAAACCCTCGTCAACTTTGAGAATCCCTGTTCTAAAGGAACATTGTTAAGGAAGGTTTAATTGTTAGAAGGCTATTATTGTCTAGAAGTTCTTTAAAACTTCATCTGAATAAGGGAGCTGCGTAACATTCGAAACGTCTCCCTTTATAAATTAATTATTTGCGGTCTTGTTACCATATTATTTATACGGTGGTGGGCCAAGCAGCAGCTTCGGCTGTTGCACGAATGGGCAGGCTCGTCCGGGAAAGTACCACTACCTCACAAAGACCGGCGTAAATTGGAAGTATAATACTTTCGCGTTTCGTCTAGTTAATGAGGTGGCCGGGGCCCAATTCTCAAAAGGTTGTCAACGCATCTGGAACCCTCGGGTGTAGCAGATGTCCATGGGCGGCGGTATTCACTTAACATTAGGTGAACCGTCTGCTCGCTTGGCAACTTTTCACATAAAAAAATGCAGTACCTATACGCGTTATTATGGGAAATAAATAATGTAAATGTTCACTATCCAGGCGTGTATTTATTACGGTGTGGAATCGAGGTCGCGAAACGCTTTGCGTCCGTCGGGCTTGGTTCTACGTGACGCAATTTTTTTTTTTTAGACACATTCGTACAAAACATTTTCTAGTCCCAAACTAAGCAAAGCTTGTACTATGGGTACTAGAAAACTGATAAACATACTTAAACATACTTTTCTTTTGTAAATAAATACATATTATACATATATAAACACCCAGACACTAGAAAAACACCATGTTCATCACACAATATTTTTCCAGTAGTGGGGATCGAACCCACACCTCTGGCGCAGGAGGCAGGTACACTACCCACTACGCCATTCGGGTCAAATTTAATCTCGCTTGCACTGATATTACGTTGTTAATGCACTTGTATGTCGGAGAGGCAGTTAATAGCGGTAGAGTGCGGAGATATCGGCGTAATAACTTTAATCGAACGGCAAAACAAATTTAGTGATAAATTCTAATACATGAAATTATCGTGTCACGGTGTTTGTAACTGAACTCCACCGAAACGGCTCAACCGATTTTCGTGAAATTTTGTGTGCATATCGGCCAGGGAAGAGAATCGGACAACATCTATTTTTCATCCCACTAAATGTTAAGGGTGGTCCACCCCAAACATTTTTTTTTACCCTACAAATAATTTATATGGCAAAACAACGTTTGCCGGGTCAGCTAGTATATATACATATATATGTCTTATTGCTTGGGTAGTTTACAGTACGGACTATACCATAGAGGATAGACGGGCTATTGTGCTTGCTGTGATTTTGAGAATAATTAATCGATCGCTATAAAATGATTAAGTTATAAATTTGAGCGACCGTAGACTCAATTTATTAGGTACTAGTAATAAAAACAAACTTTCATTACTACATAAATAACTCAATGGCGCATTTGCTTAACTATTGGTTTCGGCGCAGGGGTCATGGCTTGCTTCCGAAACGGGATAAGTATTTGGTTAACATAGGCATAGTTGTTTTTTGATGACATCAACCAGGTGGCCAGTCATAAGAAAACCTTGGCTTTATAATTAATAACAATATTACTGACACATTGTACCGACCCCATGTAAGTGGAATAGATAGTAGTGGGGCAAGAAAATCACAATCGAAGGAACATAATAAATCGTGATTTAACAACATTTTGTAATACAATACACTTATACAAACCTCTTTTGTCAGTCGACTTTATACAAATAGCATAGACTAATATAGTTTTATTTATCACCGTGATGTCCTCAACTCTCTAAAATATTGTAAAACATAACAAAACCCTTGAAAACAGGTTTTATTACACCGGAATTATGAACGGCGGATGAAAATAATCCTTTATGTCTAGTATCCTTTCATTTTAGCGCATGACGCGTTTAGCACGCACGCACGCGTAGTTTTCGCAAATACTTGGGCACGTGGCAATTTACTATCGATTTAATATGCGAAATATTCCATAACAGACTTTATATTCTGTTATATTGAACCTAATCCTGTATAACAATAGTTTGTATATATAACAAATTAATTGAAATCAGATATTTAAATATTCTTACAAAAGTCTGTACTGTACGAATATATAATTGATAGACCTCCCGCCAACCATTTCATGATATTTCATAAACCCAAAACACTGCTCTATTCTCCTCATGTTAATTTTAATTTTGACACAGGTTGTGTTTTGCCATTTTGGGTCTCGGGAACTTTAACAAAATAAGGTTTTGTCTATACTAACCGTTCGCATTCATTAATTGCAGGTGCTACGGTTAGGAATGAAGGGGAGGCTGTGATCATCGGTAGGATAGTCAGGGGTGGCGCGGCGGAGAAGTCCGGCCTCTTACACGAAGGAGACGAGGTGAGGTTTTTCATAGTCTTAGATATATTGTCCCAAAGAGGCGTTGCCGGCTTAAGGAACGAAAATTTAGATCTTTATAGTTGTACAATACACTGACCTCGATGACTGGATCGTATTCAGATGCATTTGATACATTATCGACGCCCGTAACTTTATTAGCGGCCTTTCGGCATTGATTTTAAGTGGCATTTCCATTTAAACTTGCATTGCGTGCTTGCTCATGTAGTTTCCAAGATCGAATGTTTTCGTTTCTTTTTAAATTGGTATCTCTCCTGATGACTGTGGCGCCGTTGCCAAGCTATTGGCCTCGGCGCCGGGGCCGTGGGTTCGATTTCCACGCGGGACAAGTATTTTTCTGACCCACAGGCGATTTTTAAGGTTTTATTTATTTCCAACGTGACGTCAAATAACGGTCGCAAATATATTGTAGTCGACACCATTATCAACTTGATTCATATGTTGTGGCAACCTTAGGTTAGATATGGCAGATATAGTGGTGAGTAGTCACTGTACACACGCGTGAATGTACACTGTACACAAGACTGAGTGTAAGCTGTAGACACGTGTGAGAGTACCCTGTACACACATGTGTGTGAACACTGTACACTCGTGTGAGTGTACACTGTAGACATGTGTGAGAGTACACTATACACACGTGTAGTGCACGTGTCATACGTCTGAGTGTTCACTGTACACATGTGTGTCTACTGCGCCCACGTGTGAAGCGTGCCAGTATATCTGTCCGCGTGCGCAGCTGCTGGAGGTGAACGGGGTGAGCATGCGCGGCAAGTCGGTGCACGAGGTGTGCCAGGTGCTGGGCGCGCTGGCCGGCACGCTGACGGTGGTGCTGGCGGCGGGCGCGAGGGGCGCGCAGCGGGCGCACGCGCCGCGCGCCGCGCCGCGCGTGCTGCACGTGCGCGCCCACTTCGACTACGACCCCGAGGACGACGTGTACATCCCGTGCCGCGAGCTCGGTGAGTGGGCCGCGCGACGACAACCACACGCACACGCGCGCACTTTGTAATGCGCACAAATACACGCACACACGCGCATGTGTAATGCACGTAACCACTCGCGAACACGCACGTTACATTAGCCACAACAACATTCACTCGCGCGCACGTCATAATGCGCACAACAACACGCACACCTGCCAGTCAAAACTCACGAATTTGCTCAAGGATCGATGCACGTTTGCACGTTACCTCGACTTGACCACTCTGGTCTGGAACACGCTTTCGTTTCTTCTAAATCAATTGAATCGTCATCCCTTCCTTAAATAAAGTGCATTAATACCATCTCCATCGTATACTACACTAATACTATCTAAAATTAAACTGTACTTTCAAGGACTCATCATTATCATCATCATTTCAGCCTGTTTGAGTCCATTTCTGAACATAGGCCTCCCCCACAGACTGCCACGAGGCACAAGGCCGCCAGAGGTCGCACAGGTCGTCACTCCATCTAGTGGGCGGGTCCTCGTACACTGCAATAGTCAGTATGAGGATGCCACTCGTGAACCCAGGAATCATCACTGAATATTTTTCAACGTTCCCATTTGACTCTGGACGTTGCGTTGCAGGCATCAGCTTCCAGAAGGGCGACGTGTTGCACGTGATCAGCCGCGACGACCCCAACTGGTGGCAGGCGTTCCGCGAGGGGGAGGAGGACCAGACCCTGGCCGGGCTGATCCCCAGCCAGGCCTTCCAGCACCAGTGAGTGTCGGGCGACATCAAACTTATTAACTGACAAGAGACCACTGCAAAGTATAAATATTCGCTCCTGCATTTTGCCTTGTCAAGGCGGTGCCTCGCGTTTGCAAAATGACTGCACCCTACGGGTTTTTGTCTATGGGTGGCAGCTATTGCGCACCTGGGGCTGCATGCCTGATTGCCTACATACCGGGAATGATTATCAAACCCCCTCCTCCCTTCTTCCCCCTGTTGTATTATGAATGAATGAATGAATGTCTTTATTGTTATTAATTATATTAATCCTATACCCACCTTAACATTCTAAAAAGCGATAGCTCCTGACCCCTCCCCCTCTTGTATCAATCCCTAAGACATGATTTGGTGACAGGCGCGAGTCGATGAAACTGACGCTCGCCGGCGAGGTGGCAGCAAGGGACAAGCCACGGAAGGGGGGCACCCTGCTCTGCGCGAAGAAGCCCCCAAGGAAGAAGAAGGGCAAGAAAGCCAACAGCGAGGCGGGGTACCCGCTCTATTCCACTTCTGGGGCAGACGGTGAGTGACACACATTTACCGTTAGTTGATCGCTGTTGTTCAGACAATTCAGAGGGTTCTTTCAATTGTGAAAAGATTATTCGATTATTCTCCATCGAATGGAGTAATGTTATTTTCAAATAAATTTAGGTTTCATTTTAAAAACTCATTTATTGTAAAAAGAGGTGTAGTAAAAGCTGGAAAGCTGAATTTTTTTATATACAATGTTGACTTCGGTGTTCGGATTTTCTTATGTTAGCAGTAACTGCTAGCAGTAGCATCAGATTAGCCGTCTGCTCGCTTTCCAACTCTTGGCAAACGAGCAGCCGGTTAATCTTATGTTTAACCATCATCAACTCCCTCGTGGAAATCTGAAAAACGGATATTGCAAATGCATTGCCAACATCTAAACAAGGAGATCCCAGTTCCAGCTTCGCTTAGCCCAGTTCCAGACGACGCTTCCACTTCACACCTGCCCATTCGCGCAACAACCGAAGCCGCGTGCCCACACAACTGTGGTGTGCGCTTGCGGAGCACTTGACTCACGAAACAATCTCGTTGTGCTCGCAGAGTTCGAGCAGGAGGAAATCCTGACCTACGAGGAGGTGGCGCTGTACTACCCCAGGGCGTCCCACAAGAGGCCCATCGTGCTAATAGGCCCGCCTAACATCGGCCGGCACGAGCTGCGCCAGCGGCTCATGGAGGACAGTTCCAGGTTCGCAGCCGCGGTGCCGCGTGAGTAACCTTCCTGCTGCCTCTTTATGCACGATTACTTTTTGGGCTTCACTCGATGGCGCCATTGCTGAGCGATTGGCTTCGGTGTCGGGTGATTCCCACGGGACAAGTTTTCGTGTGACCCCCAAACGGTTGCCCTGGATTGTTTCCCTAAGAGGCTTGACGTCTGGCAGACGGCCGGTTGTTGAAAACATAGCCAAAACGGCTTACAACATGATTCGCATGTAGTGCCGACTCTACTTAGGTGGAATAAGGGAAGAAGGATGATGATTACTATTCGAGGTAATTCAGATATAAAGAATTAACTCGACAAGTATTTGGAACTAGCTGCTGCCCGGGACTGCGTTTGCGAAGGGTGAAGGCGTAACATTCAGACAGAAAGACAGATATACATAAAAAATGTATATAAATTATAGCCTATGTTTTATTCTGATGTATAAGCGATTTACAATCTTTATTGATCTAATATTTACAAGATTAAATCTATCTAAAATTACATATTATCTAATAAACCTAATCCACGCGGCATCTTGCCAAGAACGCTAGCTGCATTTCCTCGCTGAATAGTTATGCTTAACCTTTGCGCGAGAAAAGAACCAGCTCTCTTGTCACCAGCCGCGGCGTTAAGCCTAGGACATAAACTTTTAAAAAAATTTGATGTGCGGGGACCCCACGGACCTAATGTTTCAACAGCAAATGGCACAAATACATAATCTGAACATAAAGACTCATATTTGCGCCATTTACTTACTTCAGCTGCTGGACATTTACATGCTGTTTAAAACAGCTAAATAGGTTAGGTTGACATTTGTGACAACAACAAGATAACAAGACCAAATTTTTTTCTGTACTACTTATTTATCAGCAAATAAAGAAACTTAAACTTGGTATCAACAAAGGAGCACCTAAGAGGTAAAGTGAATCTGAACGGACTACGTTAATTCCCGTTATGATAGAGCTAAAATATTGGGTCAAAATGATTTTGTCGGAAAAAGAAATCTTTTCGGAAAAGAAAAGTTCGCATTTGAAATTATTTAAATCGAGACCGATATTTTTAAATTGTCTAATAATTTCGATAAGATCACTTTGTACATCGTCAACTTTACCTCCCAGCGTACCATCGTCTAGGTACCAGACATTAAGTTTAGATTTCAATTTTGAAATAATTGCATGAATTCCCAAACTAAATAATGCTGGTCCTAGCGGATCTCCCTGCTGAACGCCGACAAAAGAATCAATAATATTGTCTTCATAAAATAAATTACTCTTTTCACTGTAACATTGCCAAACATAGTGATATATTTCTGGTGTATGGTTAGCCACTTCATTCAGCAGAGTCGTTCTATCAATGGAGTTAAAAGCATTCCTTAGGTCAACCTTCAGAAGTACATCCAAATCACTAGTATTTAAAGAAGTTCGAACGGAATGTACAGCCGCTTCACAGCCGCCTTTGCTTCCAAAGCCAAGTTGAACAGGCTGGAATTTTATTTTAAGGCCGGAGATTATGTGCCTACATGCTAATTTTGAAGTTAAGCGTCGAAAGGTAGAACCAATAGCAATAGAACGGATACGATTATCTTTTTTTTTAAAGGCACATAATGCGCCCCGTATAAAAAAAAGGAACAAATTTAGGATTTACTTTTCCGGAAAGCATTAAGTTGCATAATTTTGTAATATCATTAAGAACCGCTCTGCCAGCATCAACGACGGAAACGCTTACAAGATCTTTCAGATGTTGTGGCGTTATACCGTGAATGCCGCCAGAATTTACCAGTAATTGCCTCGAAAGTGTCTTTATCGGTAATTTGCAAAGCCTGATATGAAGAATCGGGAGGCAGCGGTAGGAGCGGCGGAAGATTGATCGATTGATGCTTTTGTCGGAGGTTTTATAGATTCTCATCATTATAAGGAGCAAGTATAAACTATATTATTGTAAAGTTTCATTCAAATCCATTCAGTAGTATTTACGTGAAAGAGTAACAAACATCCGTCCATACATACAAAATTTCGGCCTTTATACTATTAGTAAGGATTAACTCGATAAGCCACGTATCTGAGGGAACTTAGGGGAATGCATCGTTATGTGCTGGTAATGTAGTCACAGTTGTCACATTTTACACCCTTATACTGTCATATTGTGGCACACTATTCGATGTTTCTTCCCAGCAGCTGTTTCTTTGCAACAGCAAATGTGCCTTTCGCTTGGGCATTCATGTGACGTCAGATATAATCAAGTATCAGCCGGTCCGTATTAAAACTACCCATCTGCGAGTCCAGAACAGCCGTGACTCACAGCCGCGTTGGGCAACGAGCACGCCCGTTGTTGACACACTGCCGTGACGAACCGCGATCGCTTCCACCCGCAGACACGTCGCGGCCGCGCAAGGACCACGAGGTGCCCGGCCAGGACTACCACTTCATCTCGCGCACGCAGTTCGAGGCGGACATACTCAACAGGAAGTTTGTCGAGCACGGAGAGTACGAGAAGGCGTACTACGGTAAGGGAACCTGTCTCCCCACCATCCCCTTCTCTCTTCGAGCTACAATCGCCGCACGAATACGGAACCCTAACACAAGCTCGTTCGGATTTCATCCGTTTTAAACTGTCTCTTGTTAATTATTTTTAATTTGATCGTTTGTTATTCAGCTACTATAGCTGCAATCTCTTTTTATTTTTATTGCTGGTCCCGGCCCTCTTTTACTTTTTCCAGTTGTGAAAGTTTCTAGATAAATTAACGCAAAATTTCGGCCCTGTTACAAATGATTGTCGAACGGTGTTGCATGCTGTAAAGGATGCACACTAGCGCCAAGCGTTGTTTAAAATACGATACAAAGAACGTTGCCGCTTTGCTTAGTAAAATGTATGGTTGCGAAACCGGACCACGCAGGTTAGTTAGTTATTAACATCCAACGTATTTTTATAATTTTTACGCGAATCAAAATTGGAGCTGTTCTTAAGGAAGTCATAACATAAACTGAGACATCTAAAGTCTTACACTGACGGTTAGTGATACTTCACTTCGGTATTCAGTGGGGCCGTGGGTGGTACTTTCCCGGCCGTGGTACTTTCCCGTTCGTGGTTCTTCCCCGGCTGTGGTACTTCCTCGGACGAGCCTGTCCATTGGTGTAGCAAAGTCTATCGCGCGGGCATCTGATGCACGTACTTCCCAACCCGCAGGCACGTCGCTGGAGGCGATCCGCGAGGTGGTGAACTCGGGCAAGATCTGCGTGCTGAACCTGCACCCGCAGTCGCTGCGGATCCTGCGCAACTCGGACCTGAAGCCGTACACGGTGTTCGTGGCGCCGCCCAGCCTCGAGAAGCTCAGGCAGAAGAAGATACGCAACGGCGAGGCCTTCAAGGTGCGCTCACGTTCCCTTCGCCATTACAGCAGACACTGGAGAGGACAGACACTAACAAAACATCAAATGACAAATAACATTCTAAATGAAGACATCGATTTAATCTTGTATCGTATTGCAACACTACTTCAAGTGAATTCTATAGAAAAATGTTTTACTAACTTCCAGGAGGGAGGTTACCTCTGGGAGACATTTTTTATATGTGTTAAGATTTTTGTTAAGTGATAAGGACCGCCCATTGACATTTACTTCACCCGTAGGGCTGCAGATGCGTTGCCACCTTTTAATAAAGTGGACTCCTCGCTCACCAGACAATACGCATAAGTATCACACTTACACTTCAAGAGAGGTCGTGGTACCCGCACGAGCCCACCATTGGACAACCCCCCTGCCGATTTCTGCCCTAACCCGGAGCACTGCGGCCTCCCCGTTGCAGGAGGAGGAGCTGAAGGAGATAATAGCGACCGCGCGCGACATGGAGCTGCGCTGGGGCCACCTGTTCGACATGATCATCATCAACAACGACACGCAGCGCGCCTACCAGCAGCTGCTCAACGAGATCAACAGCCTCGAGCGCGAGCCGCAGTGGGTGCCCGCGCACTGGCTCAAGCACACCTAGCGCCCCGCCCGCCGGCCGCGACGGCGCGCGTGACGTCACCGCCCGGGGGGCGCCCGGCCCTCTCCGTCCCGGCCACGCCGGATGACGTCGCGCGTGACGTCATCAGGCCAGGGGACGCCCGGCCCCCTCCGTCCCCAGCCACGCCGGACGACGTCGCGCGTGACGTCACCAGGGACCCGGCTGAAGCCTCGCCATGGATTATCCGTGTGCGTGACGTCACTTTGGTCCAGTGCATAATCCAGCCCCCTCCATCACTCACGACCACGCCGGACGACGTCTCGCGTGACGTCATCGTTACGACAGTCGTCCCTGAACGTTCTCGCCGTGGAGCGACTCGAATTGTGGGCAACCACGTGGTGGGAGACGACAGCCTCTATCGAAGGTGTATGCCTATCCCCGAACTGCCAACCATCGTGCTCATTGGTTACCGGCGCGGAAAGCGCATTGTCTTCCATTGTCCTTGTAATCAGAGGGAAGCACGGCACCAGCGTTCGCCCTGGAGTCAGTTCTACGCCCGCACTCGAAAGCGAAACAGAGTGTGGTAATTCAAGAATCAACCACCACGGTTCCAACAATGCATTAGAGACGATTGTACTCGACTTTATCGCTCGTCGGAATATAACGAATGTACTGCCTTATACATAGAAGTTGTATGTTTTTTTAATCGGAGAGAGATGGCAATGGAAGGTGTAAAATCAATGTCCGTACTAAGTTTCATAGTTCAGTTTACAATATTCGTATAAAACTGTTCATCCGTCTTGGTTATAAAATATATAACGAAAATTTATATTGGAAAGTGATATGTAGTGAAATTTCGTTATAATCTGTTTGTGTTGCATAAAGTTTTATAATGTAACGTAAAAATTAAAAGAAGATCTGCTCCCGATGATAAAGAGGGAGAGAGAGACCATATAAAAACGACCCAAGATGTTGAACTTTTTTCTCGGAGACGGTTGCAAATGTACCTTTAATTTTAAATTAATAATTTAGAAAAAAAAACGTGTATAAAGATTTTGACTGCACATTCCTTAAAAAAATACAAAAACCTTTTTACCTCGTGAATAGTTTAGAGTTGCCCGTCAACATTTTTTCTTTTTAAAATATTTTTCGGTGGTAAATTTTCAGCGAAATTTGATCGCTTTAAATATCAATATTCAATTCAATCTCATTACGAAATTATTTGAAACATGATACAACTTTACACATATTAATAATAACGCGAAAGGAATTTACAGTTTTGCTGTATTAATAACACTATTAACCAATAAACTATTCCCTATTCTCAAAATTTATACCGTAGAAATAAAAAGATTTAGGAGTTTTCGAAAAAAATCCAGTAGCTAGCTAGCCTTTGTGTATTCTCTCTTTCTAAGACGATGGAGTGATCCGTCGAATGTAGGAAATGTATTAAATTGGAATGAAAATGAATTAACATTAAAATGCTATAATAGTGAGTAGAGAAGCAATATTTTATATCCATGTTATCACCAATTTTACAACGACATATCTGTTTTTATATTATAGCTACTACAATATGGCCAATTTGAATCTAATTTTTTGTCAAATATACCAATTTTAAATCTTTACAGTAATCATCGGTGAATATTGACTTACTTCCTCGCTTTCTAGTTACTCCATTAAATTGTTCAATGTTCCGATATGCAGTTTTTATTATATTATTGCTTCAATTTTACATTCCAAACATTATCAATATCGGCATAAGGGTAGATAGAACATTCGAAGATATTAATTAATTGTCATAAAACAGAATAAAGCTAAAATTTTTAAATCACTTACCTTAATTTTCTCAATAAACTGGACTAATCTTACATTTTGTAATACCGTTATACTTTTAACCGGTCTCCTAAATAATTATAGTCTGTTTTGTATTATTGAATTTTATGTAATTGATAACAGACTATTTTCTTTATAATTTTTTCTACAACTCGTAGTTTTTAATCGACACGGAATTTATTACCAATGATTACAATAATATTGCAGTACTATATTTGAATAGTGATGTTTTTTAAGAGTTGTATGTATAAATCAAGTTTTAAAAAATGTCCATGGTTTTAAAATTCATATATCGTTTACATAAACTTATTACGTAACTAATTAGATAGAATCGTGCGTTCCAAATGAACTAGTGCCAAATACATAAGGCCACAATGAATTGTGCGGTAGTCGTATGTACATTTCTTTCACTTAATCACAATTAATTAATACAATAATTTCTATCGTGTATGTTTGTTGAATTCTGACCACTTTATTGTGCGTGCAAATTTTTGGATATAGTGTAATAGTGTTTTTTAAAAAATTCTATTGTGAAACGTTTTATTGTAATTTGTAAGTTATTATGTATCCGAGTATAGAAAAATTGTAGCCTGTGGAGGTGCTAAAACAATTGAACTATTTCGTTCTGTCTTTGTGTATTTTTTAAATTGTTGCGTGACGTGCGCATGAGTCATGTCATATTAATAATTGTACTTGCTGTATAAAGTGAGTGGTCGACATGGCAACACTGGTTCATGCGCGCCGTCATCCAAATGCGGTTTGGTCGGTATTTCACAGTATTGATATTATCTAATTTATAAATAGCCCTGTAAATAATATTAACAATTGAATGAATAATAAATATATTATAAATAACATGTTAATAGAGAACAATTCTGTGTAAATAATAGATTACCTATTAAATTTAATATCAGATTAAATGTCGGTTTTATTTTTATCCACTTTTTTAGTGCGATAAGATGGCAAACGAGCGGGATATTGATAACCTTTAAGAGGGTTGGTTCTGTTTACCTCACCCACCAGATGAAATAAAAAAAAAAACAAAAAAAACTACGCATAAAGGAATTATGGGCTATTGTATATTATCCTTACACTAATTACACTCAGCCCAATGGCATATTTATCACTTTCTGTCTACGAAAATTTAAGAATTTGGTATTGTTTTCTTTTATAAAAAAAGGTAATAGCAGATGGTTCACCTGATGTCGATGATTAATATCACACCCGAGGGCTTAAAGATGCGTTGACAACCTTTAAAATAAGTAGGCACATAACAATCCTTTCGGCAACCCAAATAACACGTGAAAAGCCATTTGACAGCTAATTAGTTAACTTCTACGATGATTAGTGTTTCAGAAACCGGGCGTTACTCAATAACGTTTTACGTTTATTGACGCATGTGCTACTGCGCGGCTTATAAAAAATTGTTCCCCTTTACGTTATATGACATATCTCTGTGAATGTAACAGATGATATAGAAAGTACGATACGAAAAGAGAGAGCATTCTATGGAGTTCCATTGTAATTACACCAATTGGCGTGATTTGAATGCCTCATATTCTGCGCGTTAGCCATCGTATCTACTTGTATTGTTATTTGTATATAACATAATTAGGCTTACTAAATGCGTCAACCTATCAGTATTGTTTGTGGAAAAAAAATAAGTGTGAGTTGGACTCGCGCACGAAGGGTTCCGTACCTTTATCTATAAAAACGACAAAAAAAGCATGTCTGTTTTTAAATATTTGTGTACAATGTGTGCAACAGAAATACCTTATCTGATAAAATTATTATGTATTAATTGAAATGATATAAACTATTTTATGCAAAATTTTAAGTCGTAACTTAAACCTCATCCATTTTAATGTAATTATTTTATCAGTATGTGATTTATGATTTACACAACATTTTTCACAACAGCTTATAAAATCGTTACAACTACCACTGGTGCAGTATATACTAAAGTACTCTGTGCACTGGTGTGATATGTGGACGTAGTGTAACGTATAACTAATAGGTGGCGTCACTGAAGCGCTGTTCATACTGCTTTCTCACATTGCAAGGCGAGTTGACACTGAGCTAAAAAAAGTAAATGAGCAAACTCAAGAAAAATTATAAAAGCTGCTATTAAATTTAAAAACATATTTTTAAGATTTACTATAAGGAATTAAAATATGTGTAGATTAAAGTGCAACTATTAATCCAAAACTAAGAATTAAATATTGGTTAAATTTCACGTAAATATTTTTTTAAACAAGATTTACAAAAAAAAAATATCGTATCTCATATGATGTTGTTACTAAATTAGATAACATAAGCTTTTTGAAGTGAAACTTCTTTATCGGGGTTGGAAAAAAATTTAGTGTGACATTTTTGCGTTACGCGCCATCTTTTTCTTATCTTAAAAATGTTCCTCTAACGCCATCTAGTGTTAAATAGGGGGTTTTATGTCGTCTTTATTCTTTAGTGGTTTTAATAGTCGACGCTAGATGGCGTTAGTTCCTCCACTCGTTCATAATAATATATATATGTTATACGACATCAATGATAGTAATAATTCTATTACAATTAATGAAATTTAATAATAATGTTTGTAGTAATGACAGTGCTAGCTCTAATACTTCAGAGCACGAATGCTCTTCGAAGCCTCGATCGGCTCCTGGAACTTGCGGTTGTGACGTCGATCCAACGTCCGCAAGTTCGGTTTTCCAAAAAAAACTTCACTCACAACACTCGCGCGCGAGTCGAACTTCTACTCACTGGCTGACTATTCGGCAACGAAGGACAACGTACAAATTCAAAGCGGTTGTATTTTGGGTCGAGGTTTTGAAAAAACAAGGTTCACTTACAGTTTTATAAGTCGACAATTTTGCGGACCCTCATGGCTACTATTCGGCAACTAAATATTATACAAAGCTAAAATGAAATAATTGTAGAATTTGTATTTATGTCTATGATAATAAAAGCGTTTTATTTAACTTTATCTAATTTATCTTTATTTAACCAATTTCTGTAAAGTTGCATATAGTAAATTATTTTTTGAAAAATAACTTCATAAAAAAGTTTCACTTCTTACGAGTGTACGCTAGTACGCGCACAATTTTTTTTTTTTTGATACCAAAAGTGTAAACATTCGTTGCGTAATAATTGTACAATAATACAATATTAATTGTAATACAAAATTACAAATAGCTAGACTATGAATTCTACATACTGGCAATCCTAATTTGACATTTACTTATGACGTTTATTTTCTGACATTTTCCTGATGTTTGTGTTTGTGTGTCAAGTTTTCTAAAAAACGGAGCGAAATTTATAAAATCACAAAAAAGATAATTATTGCAAGCAAAGTAATTTAAGAGCAATTTATCTCATAAAATGCCTTCTATGAAAGTTGAAGGAGATAGTGATGGGGACGGAGATATGTCTGGTGGGGACACTGAAAGATCTGGAGGATCTTCTAGGGGTCCAGATCGTGACTCTAGCGCTGAGGAGGCTGATGAACCGGACTCCGATGACTCCTCGGAGATGGATGAAAGCGAATGTGAGAGGCGACGAAACGAGTGCCTCGATAATTTAGGTTAGTTGTGTACAAAAAATTTAAGGTTATGTTTACCAACATTCACAGTTTAGGCGATTTTGCGCCTTCGGTTGAACGTGTCGTAGAAACGTTTTAAATCAAACAAGAAAATGATGATGATTCTGATGTTGATTTTTGGTAATAAGAAAATTAAAATTGCTGACTTAAGTTTGTGTGATACTTTGAAAAACTTAAAAAATATGAAATTACGATACGCAGATACGATTGATATAATTATTTTAGATAATATATAATTATTTTACTTCTCTAGAGTAAATAAGAAATATTTGTATCATGCTACAGTAAAACCTGTATAAGTTATTTTGAAACTATAGACAACTTAGGCATAAACTAGTTAGTTAACTTGAAAATACTATTATTTACGTAATTATAGTTTGATATAGCTTTCTTTATCAATCCTTTCATCTCTCAGCTACATAACATATTAATATTCCTAATATTATTTCAATATTTATAATGAAATGTATTAGTTGACTTTGAAGGTATGTATGTTAATTACAAAGATGAAGACTCAAGATTGGCCTCTCAGTATGTCAACAATGGTGATTTGGATTTTTGTTTAATAACTAAAAAATATTTCTAAGTTATTAAGTGTTTCCTTAGAACAATAATCATGGGCACTTTAGACAATCAGCAGATTTATAATTATTTGCTTTCTTTCAAGATATTTCAAGACATGCTTTTGTGTAATATGTAACATATTTAAAAAACATATTATTGTGTACAAAATTTTGTAAGCAAATGAATAAAGTATGCTCACATAATAATAAGGATTTTTTTTCCATTCATTCTAAAATTTCAGAATACTTTTTGATATTCTCTTAAATGTTATCCTTGCTAAACTTTCTGAGTGTGCTTATTCTTCGTTCATGCTAGAACAGATTTACATATTTGGTAAAAATGTACCTTTTACTGTAGGCTACTGCAGAATGTTTTTTATATCATAAAATTTAAGATTTACCTATACACTATACTAGCTTATGAAAGATTACTACTTACCTAAATAACATAAAATGTTCTCCTTTCCAGCAAACCTGGAGCGACAATTCACGGTGCTCCGTGAGCAGCTATACAATGAGAGGGTTAAGCATGTGGAGTACCAGCTAGCGGAGGTGCGCGGTGGACGATCCCAAGAGTACCTCGGGCCTTTAAGAAGGCTTCAAGAGAACATGCGTGTGAGGTAGATAACTAAATTAATTCTCAAAGACAGTTCTAGACAATACTAAGACTGACCCAGTTTGCTTGGGTGGCACTACATGTATTATTGTTTGCTTTTTATATTTCAAAAATTGAGAATAGTGAAATCACAGTCTCATAATTGCTGAATGTGCAGGCTACAGAATACTACATTAATTATTTTTCTTTGGAAATTTTATGTTTTGGTACATTTTATATTGTGTGTAAGAGGTTAGGTAGGAAATCTCAATGACTACTGACAGCAACCTAGAAGATCTATTATAGTCTTCCCTTTGAGGGCATGTATAGCAGTATCCCATTCTAAAAAGACTCTTTACATACATACATTTCATGTAGACAACCATCTAGATCTGAAACACTTTTTTGTGGGTCACACAAATAGTTTTCCCGTGTGTAAATTGCCAATACCTAACAAGCCAATACCTAGGCAACTGCATCACATAGTCATCTATTGGTATGGATTACATAAATGATTTTACTGGGTTGTATATCTCATTATTTTCATAGAATCTTTCTTGATTTTCTGAGGTGTCACTTACTTATTTTTATTTTATTTTTATTTTATTTACATTACAAAATTATGTTACATCCATTACTTTACATTTAGTCTTCTACACACGACACTAGATTTATTTACGGACGCAACGAATTGTTGCATAATCTAATTTTCTTAATCGGACACTCTTGGCGGAGTGGTCGTGGCTGTCGATGGACAGGGTTGCGTCTCGTCGTCGCTGTTCGCTTCCAAGGCGGCCACACGTCTTCCGATGTACCTCCGTTGGAGGCGGCTCTGTCCTCAAAGTACTTCATATACAAAAGAGACTTTCGTCGACTGTCCAACTACGAATTCTCAAGTTCTATGGGCACATCTCTAGGAAAGGAAGATTCTATAGAGAGACTTGTCATTCAAGGCCGTCTAGAATTGCCTTCTATGTATGGATTGACCTCATCACCAGCACTACGAAAGCCACCGCAGTACTGTGTGCATTGCATAATCTAATATGATAAAAATAATAATAAATTATTTAAGCCTGCTTATTTCAATGCAATCTTGATAGAAATCTCAATTCCGCTCGCTGCAGGATCGAAGTGGCTGGTATCCTGAAGCAGATGCGTATAGAGAACATCAAGCACATATACGACGCTGAGGAGCAGGCGGCGCAACAGCATTTCAAGGTCAGTGCTGATCTCTATCGAAGAGCATCTGTCTAGCGATTAGGATATGTGTGATGGCACATTGAATTGTTTGGGCTTTATGTTGTTTATTAGTTAAGGTGTCTTAAAGTCCGGAGGATGGCGTCAAGGCTCAACACTTATCGCTTCTCGATACTTCACGAACACTATCAACTTTGGTAGAGCTAAGCTGCAGCTTCGGCTGTTGCACGAATGGGCAGGCGCGTCCGGGTAAGCACCACGACCTTACAGAAGACAAGCGTAAAGTGGAAGTATAACAAATACTTGTGAGTGTAGCAGAAGGGCGGTGGTATTCACTTAACATCAGGTGAACCGTCTGCTCGTTTGGTAACTTTTCACATAAGAAGAAAAAAAAAGAGTTTACGTATCTCTTCTGTTTTTACATTCATTGGGTGTGAACTTTTATGACAACTCTGTAGAAACCCTTATTGAGGACCATAAACGTGGTGGACTTTAGGGCGCTTGTAGAGGAAGGAGGTGTGGACCTGTGGTTGTGGCCAATCGCGGACTACATCTGGTTCGAATTTCGACCGCTTGCAGTATAGTTCTATCGTTATCCTAAGTGTAACATGTCACGATAAGAATGGGTAACATTGTAAACAGTATCGGCCAGGCGTCGGTACATCAGATGTCTCATTTTTGCGACAAGAAAGCAAATATGTACAACAAACCTCCTATGATCTGCACCATTATTGCTTACGACGTGGGTTCTTATTTGTACCATCATATCGCAGTTTTTGTAAGGTAGTTATCGTTAGGAATTTAATTTTTATTAATATGTGTAGAAAAAGTGCGAAAAGATTTTCGCCGCTGTGGGAATCAAACCCGCGTCTTCGGCATTCGCTGCCTGATGCTTTAGCCACTAAGCTAAAGGGCTGATTGCAACACCGACGAAAATCTTAACGTCTTTATAAGCTGTCATGTCACGAGCTATGCTCGTGGCTTTTTAGCGAAAATAAATGTATAACTTAGCTGGTTTATATGAAAATGATTTCAAAAAAGGTGTACAATGTACAAGAGCCCAAAAAATAAACACAACAGCACTGATGACGAGCCTCGTAACCAAAATAATGTTACTGAATGTCCAGGTAAGATATAGTTATATATTTTATTTACTTTTTAATAAATATATTAACATTATACAGTGAGTTAAAAATTTTATTTCATTATCACGAAATTTATCTTTAAAACTATTAACTTACTCATTACTTAGGTGTTACTATTAATAAACCTAATAACATATTTTAGTATAAAGACATATATTAATACTGATTTTAGTATATGGGCGGAAGATCACAAAAGCCTTTTTACGTGGAATAATAAAGATGAATAAAATAAAGTCAACGAGGTAAAAAGTCGAAAGTGCAAAATCTCAAAATATAGGGAGATTTTTTGAGAAGTGCCCAAATTTACACAGGAGGTTCAGACTCGGCAGTATAATCGTTTATTGGAATAATAAAAAGGTTTTTTTTTCAAAAAAATGCCATTCTATTCCCTAAAAAACAGACGGTAATGCGGTATTCATTAATAAATACCTAAATTTTACTGTGCACGAACTTGTGTGTGTTAGTTATGAATGATCGCGCGTAAAATAAATTAGTTGCGTATAAATCACGCACTTTTGAGATAAATTCAAATTAATGTAATTAATTACTTACGAGTGATTTTAAATATTTATCATTTTATATATTACATTGTTTATGTCTAGAATCTAATTAAAAAATGGATACACTTAGAAAAGCCACTCTGTATATTTAAATTACACGAAAATTAGTCTCAGCATGATAAATAACGCGGTATGTTAATATTTATTACAAAAAAAATTGCTTCAGTAGTTTACAAGATTTGACCAAACCAAAATAGCTTTCTGAATACTTTAAACTGCTTTTTAAACTTTATCCTTTCCAGTATACAAGCAATTTCGAATATCGTTTTAAAACGATATTTCGCACGAGAGATGTCGCCATTGCTTTTTTAGAAATTTAAATTTTTATAGTGCCAATCTCTGCACTTAAGATTGAACATAAAAATATTGCTTCTAATGCTAAAAAACAATGTAGATAAAAGAAGTTAAGAGTAGTCGGTATGGCAATCAGACCTTTAGCTTAGTGGCTAAAGCGTCAGGCAGCGAATGTCGAAGACATGGGTCGATTCACACAGCGGCGACAATCTTTTCGTACTTTACATATTTTAATGTTCAATCTTAAGTGCAGAGATTGGCACTATAAAAATTTAAATTACTAATTTTAACTTTTAGTTTTAATGGAACAAGCTGGCAGATGAGCAGGTTGTTCGTGCCATGTTAAGTGATTATCATCACTGCTAACACCCGAGTCGTTGCAGAAGCTATGCCAGCTAATAAACACTGGGTCCCGTCTACCTCACTTACGAGATGAAACGCAATTATAAATACATCTTCTTCACGCCGTTCTTCTTCGAGGTTCGACGCCGTGGAACTTGTACGCAAATTAGTCCGCACACAGAGACGCCATTTTCCTCTGTCTAGCATTGAACTATGTACTTTATTTGCGATATTCAGTTTACAAGTTTTGGAGGTAGTACGCGATTGCTGTTTAGAAGATATAATTAATAAACATATAAATTGCAGTTTAGTGCTAATTGTTGTTTCCGAGTGCGGTCATTACTCTCATAAAGGCTCGTGTTAGTTCTGTTTTAAATTATGCCCTCATGTTATACCCAATAGTGCCTCATAAATTTCACTAAATTCTCCTTTAATGTGTGGATTGAATTCCGAATCTAAGCTAGAGTTTTGGAATTTTGTAACCAAAATGGCGTGGTGGGGGAAAATGTAGTAGTGTTTTCAATTTTTTTTTATTTTAACCAATCTCGTGATTGCCTTGATTGATAAATTTGAAATTTGAAAAAAGTATCCGTTGATGCAATGAGTATTCTGCTGTGACTGCCACTTACATACATATATAGATACTAGCTTTTCGCCCGCGGCTTCACTCGTGTTGAAGCTCTTAAATAAATATCTTTCTTTAAAAAAATTCCAATTAAAACATATCCTGTGTCCTTTCTCAGACCCTAGACTATCTGTGTACCAAATTTCATTTAAATCGTTTCAGTTGTTTTGGCGTGAAAGCGAGACAGCAGACAGAGTTACTTTCGCATTTATAATATTAGTATGGAGGTATGGATTTAAAATAGTTTAAATTAAAATAAAGATATAAAGAAATTAAAAAAAACACTGTCTTTTCTAACTATCTTACATTGTTTTTATAGGTTGATGTTTTCGTTACAGACCTTATACTTATAGTTAAAATCACAGCGCACGCGATAATGCTAATTACGTCGCGGTTTTAGCGGCGATATTTACGCTACTTCCTATATCCGGTAAATAAATGAACACAAAGGGACGTGTGTTCTTTGGCCGCACGCTATAACTGAGTATATGCCCACAACATCACCATGATGAGGACAAGTTGTAATTTGTATACGAAAGATAGTATAAATAAAATAAAATAAAAAAATAAATATTTTAGGACACATTTTTTACACAACATTTTCCAGTCCCAAACTAAGCAAAGCTTGTACTATGGGTACTAGAAAACTGATAAATATACTTAAACGTACTTTTCTTTTGTAAATAAATACATATTATACATATATAAACACCAAGAAACTAGAAAAACACCATGTTCATCACACAATATTTTTCCAGTAGTGGGGATCGAACCCACACCCTCTGGCGCAGAAGGCAGGTACACTACCCACAACGCCATTCGGGTCGTCAATTTCGGGTAGTCAATATAGAAAGAAATATTTATTTAATAGTTTAGTCCATCCACATAAAAGCAGGCGAATTTTGGAAATATTACTACAAAGTAGAGGTATATTTTTTTAAGTGAAAAGTTGCGAAGCGAGCAGACGGTTCACCTGATGTTAAGTGAATACCGCCGCCCACCCGACATCTGGACATCTGCTACACCCGAGTGTTGCAGATGCGTTGACAATATTTTGAAAATTGGGCTCCGGCCTCCTATAAGGCAATAAGGCTCCAAAGTATTATACTTCGACTTTACGCCGGTCTTCTGTGAGGTCGTGGTACTTACCCGGAAGAGCCTGCCCATTCGTGCAACAGCCGAGGCCGCTGCGTGGCCCTACCACCGAGAAAGGTTTACGACAATACGAGTATTTGTAAATATTTGTAATATTTTTCCATGCTCCAAAATAAGAAATATCAAAGACTACTTTGTCTTTGATATTTATTAGACAAGCATTTCCGCTTCCGTTTGTTTTTCAAAGATAAAACTTGAAATAAATAATCTTACCTGTAACTTTGAAATCATAGTCATTCTTGGCACTCGTTAGGTCGTGATTCACCTCAGAAGTTCCGTATGTTCCCGCTAGATGGCGGTACTCGTAAGAATTTATTGCGTGTTGCCTTTTAAAATTTTTTCAAGGGAAAGCTTTTCACGTTGATGCATACGCAAAAATATATTTCTAATTAATTCATTATACCAGTCTGTTCATTTTAATGAGTATCAAAATCAAAACTATTTACAACTGGGGCTCATGTTTCGACTTCGCTTCGTATTTTATAAAATACTAGCGACCCGCCCCGGCTACGCACGGGCAATTTATTATACATAATTATACTTTCCTCTTGGATCACTCTATCCAGTAAAGAAAACCGCATCAAGATCCGTTGGGTAGTTTTAAAGATTGGGACATTGTTTCATACTATGTAGTTAGTCTGTTGGCATTACGGTACCATTCTTTTCACCTTAACATAAGAATTAGGGGAATAAGCCGTACAATCATCTATTAATTTAAACAAATAAAATTCTTAGCAAGGAAAAGATAATTTCATTTTAATGAAAATTGTCAAATGTTTTAGTCTATTATGATATCAAATCCACGTTCAAACAACACAAAAATAATTTTTCAGCAGTCCAATTTTTTTAATACGAATAAAAAAAAATAAACTTAATAATTTTTAACAAAAAAAAAAAAACAAAAAAATTAAAAACATTGTTCACACCAATAAC